CGCTCAGCGACGACGTTCGTTTCGAATTCGAGCTCCGTTCGCGGTTATATCACCGGTACTTTTCCGTCCACGATTTCACCGCGCGAAATAATCGCGTCGCCTCGCGTCGCCTCGCGTCGCCTGGACCGACGAACACAATGTTTGCGACGATTCGAACGATGTGTCGAAAGGTTGCGCGCGGAACGGAGCGTATCACGAGTCGGAGACCGAATGGACCGAGGGAAACGACCCGTGCCGAATCTTCGTTTGCAAGGCCGGAGTGATCACCGAATCCCGGCTAAGATGTTACACGCCCTGCTCGAACCCGATCCCGGCAGCGCCCGGTCATTGCTGTCCCGTATGCCTGGGTAAGACCGTCGCGAACCGAATAGTTGATCGGAAGACACTCCGAAACGACACGATTCCTTCCTTTCGCAGGATGTCACGTGAACGGACAAATGGTGACCGCGGACAGGTCGGTGACGACCAGCGAGGATCCTTGCGTCACTTGCAGATGCAACGCGGGACGACTGACGTGCGCCAAGCAAGCTTGTCCGGTGTTGCACTGTCCAGCATCGAGGATCGTTCACGATCCTGGCGAGTGTTGTCCCCGTTGCAAAGGTACCGAGTCCACGTCAGATCGATTTACGTCGGAGAAGAAAACACGTCGCGATTCTCGTTGGCAGGTAGCGGCAGATACTTGTCTCCGCCGAAGGGCGCGTGCATGTTGGGGACGGCCGTCTACAATTCCGGAAATCAGTTCTACTTGGACCAGTGCACGCGATGCAGTTGCTCGAATTCGGCGGTCTCGTGCGCCCGAGAAACCTGCCCCGTGCACGACTGTCCCACCGAGCATCAGATCACGCTACCGGGTCGTTGCTGTCCGCAGTGTCCCGAGGTCGAGGAAGTACGACCGTCTTGCACGTACGCGGGCAAAACCTACGGGGCAAGTGTCTCTCTCGTTTCGTCGAGCCGAACGCCGACGTCGGGGTCGAACGATAAGATTTAAAGGTCGTTTTTTGCGCTAGGCAGGATGGCGAAACTTGGAAGCTAGACTCGTGCAAGGCATGCGCTTGCATGCAAGGTAAGGTACGATGCGCGATGCCGATGTGTCCGCCGTTGAATCTACCCTGCCCGCCGAACTCGAGGCTGGAGCATCCAGAGGGGCAGTGTTGTCCTCGTTGCGTGGAAAGTAATATCGTTCGCTCGTTAAGTGCACGACGTCGGGTATTGGTTCGTGCACGGTGATCCACCGACCGACGTATGTTCGTTCGGTTCTCGCTACACGAGATACGATTTTCACGTTCTACAGGCGACGGCGTGTGTACGGTGTTCGGGGACCCGCATTATCGCACGTTCGACGGAAAGTTTTACAGCTTCAAGGGAGCGTGCAAGTATCAGTTGGCCAGCGATTGTACCGGGCACACGTTCAGCGTCAGGGTGACCAACGACGCCAGGGCCAGCAGGTTCTCCGCTTGGACCAAGACGATCGCCATCAAGGTACGAACAGTAATCCTCTTCTCCGAGGCTCTTCGACTTACGAATTCTCTTTATTCGTGCTGGTTGCCGACGCTGATCGTAGGTGGGCGATCTAAAAGTGAATCTAGGACAAAAGATGCGCGTGAAGGTGAACGGAAAGAAGGTGGATGTGCCGTATCGCGTAGCCGATCGACTGGACGTGAACCGAACAGCGGACAGCGTGATCGTGAGCACGCGGATCGGAATCAAGGTTCTCTGGGACGGAATCAGCTTCCTCGAGGTATCGGCACCGACTTCGTACCGAGGTCGACTCTGCGGTCTCTGCGGCAATTTCAATTCTCTGCCGAAGGACGACTTCACTAATCGAAGGGGCCGACTGGTACAGGATCCTCAACCGTTCGGCCAGTCGTGGCTCGTCGGCGCGAAGAAAAGCTGCGCCAGGCCGAAACCGGCGGCCAACCTCGACCGGGCTAGACGTTGTCGCGGACGCAAGGATCATCGGTGAGCGAAACCTTCGTACCATCGACTCGCGCGGAAATACCGCAGTTAAACCGACTGTTTCCCCGTAGGTTGTGCAATCGACTGAGGTCGCAAATCTTCGACGCGTGTCACAAGAAGGTGAATCCGACGATGTACTACAAGGCTTGCCTGCAGGACATGTGCGAGTGTCCCAGCGAAAACTGCTACTGCGAGTCGTTTACGGCGTACGCGCACGAGTGCAAGAGACTGGGCATCCAGCTGCCCCATTGGCGGAAAGCGACCAGATGTCGAACCGGTTGGGACCAGGCTGCGCGCTCGTTGTCGCTCGCGCCGCTCGCGCCGCGTTTGCCTTGACCCCCACCGCCGTCGGAGCTTCGTCGATAACGTCTCGAATCGCCGAATCACCGTCGAATACCCGAATACGCGAACAGCCGATCGAACGCGACCTACCGTTCGGCGAATTATCTGCTAGTCACCGTTTCTCCAGAAAACGCACGTCGCGCGCGTCGATCGACCGAGTTTCGTTCGCGAACCTCCGACTGTCGACGATTAAGCGTGCCTGTCCGGAGACGACCCCGTTTTTTTCTTCCCTTTTCTCCTAGCGCGAACCTTTTCGAGCAAAGGACGATTCCGAAGCACCGTGCAGTATTTCGGCCGATGAGCAGGCTCGCGGCATACCGTCTACGTCCCCGGGGTGACCTCGCGCCAACGCGTATCTCTTTTCACCCCTGATACACCCCCGCCGACCTACGCGTAGATTTAAGCCGACCCGACGACCACTTTCTCCGTTCTCCTCTTCCAATTTTTTCTCTTCTCGCCTCTGACCTATACTCTCCCGCGTCCCCCGATCTTCTCTCTCCTTCGTCGCCGTTACTCGACCCTTTTCTCACTTCGATTTATCTTATCTAATAATATAAAATTGTACATAGCCCGAGCATAGACGCGTGCGTATGCATACGCGCGTACGCGTACGTATACGGCCAACCTCGACCGGGCTAGACGTTGTCGCGGACGCAAGGATCATCGGTGAGCGAAACCTTCGTACCATCGACTCGCGCGGAAATACCGCAGTTAAACCGACTGTTTCCCCGTAGGTTGTGCAATCGACTGAGGTCGCAAATCTTCGACGCGTGTCACAAGAAGGTGAATCCGACGATGTACTACAAGGCTTGCCTGCAGGACATGTGCGAGTGTCCCAGCGAAAACTGCTACTGCGAGTCGTTTACGGCGTACGCGCACGAGTGCAAGAGACTGGGCATCCAGCTGCCCCATTGGCGGAAAGCGACCAGATGTCGAACCGGTTGGGACCAGGCTGCGCGCTCGTTGTCGCTCGCGCCGCTCGCGCCGCGTTTGCCTTGACCCCCACCGCCGTCGGAGCTTCGTCGATAACGTCTCGAATCGCCGAATCACCGTCGAATACCCGAATACGCGAACAGCCGATCGAACGCGACCTACCGTTCGGCGAATTATCTGCTAGTCACCGTTTCTCCAGAAAACGCACGTCGCGCGCGTCGATCGACCGAGTTTCGTTCGCGAACCTCCGACTGTCGACGATTAAGCGTGCCTGTCCGGAGACGACCCCGTTTTTTTCTTCCCTTTTCTCCTAGCGCGAACCTTTTCGAGCAAAGGACGATTCCGAAGCACCGTGCAGTATTTCGGCCGATGAGCAGGCTCGCGGCATACCGTCTACGTCCCCGGGGTGACCTCGCGCCAACGCGTATCTCTTTTCACCCCTGATACACCCCCGCCGACCTACGCGTAGATTTAAGCCGACCCGACGACCACTTTCTCCGTTCTCCTCTTCCAATTTTTTCTCTTCTCGCCTCTGACCTATACTCTCCCGCGTCCCCCGATCTTCTCTCTCCTTCGTCGCCGTTACTCGACCCTTTTCTCACTTCGATTTATCTTATCTAATAATATAAAATTGTACATAGCCCGAGCATAGACGCGTGCGTATGCATACGCGCGTACGCGTACGTATAAGTATACGGACAAAACCGACGTCGTTCCTCGAGAACGATCGCGAATATACCGCAAATAGTCCAAAGCCTTAGCTAATTCGTATCCGACCACGTTAGCGTAGAGATATTTCGGCTCCCGTCGAACAACGACGAAATAATAAATCAATTATATTCGTAAAATTTCTTCTCTTTCTTTATTTCCCTCGCTTCTCTTTAGATCTCTATATTTACTCCATAATATTAATAAACAACATTCTATATTTTTAAATATATTAAACCACAGCGGTGCAGAAACTACTTCTCGACGCGTCTTCGTCGCAACACCTCATTCCATATGAGCGAAACTTATTTACTAGAAACAATTCAAACGATACGACGAACTAACCAATTTCCTTTGAGAATATCGGTAATTCGTTTAGAAGTAATTCGTCAAAGTGTCTTGCATATTTTGAAAACTTCATATTTAATCCATTAAAAATTCTAATTTACGCGCGCTATCGGATACAACGCAATCGACCGTTCACGCGCGGAACTATGTGGAAAAATAATTGTATTTTTTCGAGAAACTGACCATTTTTCAGGCCTTTCGATGATTCTACATTGCTCTATGCGCGCGATAAAGTCAGAAAAATCGATTTAAGATGAATAAGAAGCTTTATATTCGAAAATAAAAAAAAGTGCATTTTATGGACCATAAAAAGTCTAGCCACCTAGCGGTGAAAGTTGGAACTAACGAAAAGTAAAATTACGATTTTCTCGAAAATGAGCGATTTTTCCGCAATTCTGACACGTGGAACGTGTTCTCCGGCCTCAAATTGATTAGAAAAATGCTATCATAATGAGCTAGAGCCATTAATAAAGAAAATAAAAAATATAGCGATTTATGGACCACAAAAATCGTAGCCACCTAGCGGTGAAAGTTGGAACTAGCAAAAAGTAAAATTACGATTTTCTCGAAAATGAGCGATTTTTCCGCAATTCTGACACGTGGAACGTGTTTTACGTCTTCAATTTCATTAGAAAAATGCTACGATAATGGGCTAAAGCCATTAATAAAGAAAATAGAAAATATTGCATTTTATGGACCTCAAAATGCTTAGCCATCTAGCGGCGAAAGTTGGAACTAATTTAGCAGGTGTTCCGGATGAGTGTAGTTCACCCTGTTCACCGGACAGATGGCGCCACTTGTACTTTTTCCGACCGGCACTATTTAAAATTGCTTTTCCTCGTTTAATTAATGATATTATGCATGAAATTATTCTGGAAAACAATACTAATTAACTTTAGAATATCCTAAAAGTATTAATATCTCTGAAAAGTCGATAAATTTAAAAATTGTATTGCGGATATAGTTCCGTTAGTTCCTACCTTTCGCCGCTAGATGGCTAAGCATTTTGAGGTCCATAAAATGCAATATTTTTTATTTTCTCTATTAATGGCTCCATCGCATTATGATGGCATTTTCTTAATGAAATCGAGGACGTAGAACACTTTCCACGTGTCAGAAATAAGGAAAAACCGCTAGTTTTCGAGAAAATCGAAATAATTGCAATCTTCCGTATTACTTGGGTTACTCGACTATTCGAAATTAAGCATTAAGGTTTTTGAAGGGTTCAAATCTTTAAATAAAACGAAAATCGACTAGATTTAAAATTTATTTGGTGAAATTCATCAAATTGTTGGTAACATTTTTGTACAGCTTACAGAGTTACGTCTTACCACATATTGAAAAGTAAAGAAAATAGAAAAGTATTAAGAGTACAGTTTAAGTACACAACACGCTCGTTTACTACGAACTTTTGTTCGTAGTAAAACTGGCAGACATTGAATCGACTTTAATCTTACTTAAGTATACGATAACTTCATTGAGAATGAAGTAAAAAAAAAAAAAAAGAGATGTTTCTCACTCGTTGAAATGATACGTCCAACGTTCCCCAACGTCAGAAACGCGGAAAACGAAAGGGAATTGTACAAATACTAGGAACTAGTATCAATTTTCAAAGACGATTTTCAATTTTGTTTTTGTTTTTCATCAACGAACTAACGTTTGACACCTTTTACAAGAGAGCACGATCGATCGCATTCGATTCGCAAATACATATTCCTAGTTCAAAAGGAAGAAAGACAAAAGACGCAACGTTGTCGCATGGAAAATGCTTCGTAAAATAGCGGAGTAGTAACGTACATTATCTCTCTCTCTCTCTCTCACTGAATATAAATAAATACAATACTATTAATATATCAATATATTAATATATAATATGTATATATATGTATATATCTACAACATAGTGTTTTTTTAAGGTAAAAAAAGAAATATTTGTTCGAACCTTTGTTTATATATTCCTTTCAGTCACAGATAATTAAACCGTTCGACTGTCCGTTTTTATCGAAAGTTTTTTAATGAAAAAATGCGTAACGGGCACTATTCTCTCTGTTTCAGCGTGGATTCGATCGGAAAAAATGAAAAGACGTTTATATTTCTTAACTCAGTGTTTATAAACGACGTTTAGTTATATCGATATAACTAAAATATTGTATTAATATGTACCGTGCGCGCGTTTTCTCCAAATATTCCAACAGTTACAACGGACAGTAAAACGGTCGTTACTCGAAACTGCTGTCGCCCAAACATTTACACCATATAATTAGGATCGTACGAGTTATTACGATCGCGTACAACCATCAACGAACATGCACAACCGTAACTTACACGAATAGGTACGCGAGATTTTGTACAACGCACGAGCACAGAAACGCATTCGCGACGCGGCAAGACTTATTAACCCGGCACGGTGTTAAGTACAATTCCAATATTAAGTAACTCGGTGTAAAATGTCGAGGAGGTTTCGCTGGTTAATAGATTTATCGACTCCGTGGTATTCCGCGTTTCAAAATACCCTTGTAATAGATACTAACTACATCGATCGAAAATAAACTAGAACCATTAGCGAATTGAATGGAACGCACGGAATACAAAGGGACCGCGGAAAGATCGGAATTAGATTAAACGTATCGAATGAATTTTGATGGATTTACGCGTTTCGCAAATATCGAAATACTGTACCGATTAACAACGTAGGTAGCTGGCAATGTTGTTCGGACGCTAGTCGAAAACACGAAGGACAACGATTATGGGTATCGGTTTTCGATCGAACTCGCGCTAATTTCTACCATAATCGTAATACAAGTATCTCTTTCGTCCGGACACGGATATTTGTGCGTTTACCGCGCGACTTTGTTCGATGTCGTACAGTCAGCGGCAGAATATCCCTTAGGGAAAATAAGGATACAGAAATATGGGGTTTACGCATTCGAGAATTTCGAACGGTACAACTGTTCTCCTCTCTTCGCTTCTGCTATTTACTCGCGTCGTTCTCGATTTTATTTAAACCACGAATATCTTTCGCACGGAATCCTGCAACGGAGCTTTACTCGAACCAAAATGAAAAATATGTTTTATAAAATAGGACGATGTCGGCAAGATTAAAAGACTGCGCATTAATTGTCCTGGGACCTAGGATAAAATTTGTACAAGTTTCGGTCTCGATAGCGATTAATTTATAAACGGTTTACGGAATAGTAGCTCAATATCCCTTAGCACGAAAGAGAAGGAAGTTCGTACATAAACGAAGAGTAATTCTCGATATATATTTTCTCGAATACGACGTCCTTCGCAACCAATTTTATTCTCTATTCTCGATGCTCGTTTACGCGAAATCGATTCCTTCTCGGTTTCAGCCACCTGTTACCGGATGCACCCTGTTTTCCCAAACCTTCCAGCCTGCGTAGTTTTCCAGATATTTACTCGGCCTGGAACAGCCAACGGCACGCACCTGCAAACAACGTTTCTATTACGATGAAAAAGAGATTATACGGCGATTGTTATCGTAAAGAACGCTGAAAGATATCCAAGCGGATCGCTTCAGATGGCTTTAGATAGCATGATTGGCCGTCTAATTAAAGCTTAACGTTCTCATAGATAGTATGGTTATGGTCCGCGTTTAAAAGAAAATATCTTTTCGGATTTAATAGAAGACGAAACGTACCCCATTTTCGAGGCTGCCGAAGATTCAAGTGTTCTCCGGCTGATTCAGATTACTATTCAGCAGCTCGGTGTTGGCGTTGTTAGCGTTCAGCCTTTGCTCCTCCTTCAGTTTTCTCTTCTTCCGTTTGTTCTTGTTGTGCACGCAGAACAAGCCGAGGAACAAAGAGAAGAGGAACGCGGCGATGCAACAGGCGACCAGTATCCACGTGGTCCTCGCCTTTTCCGTCTCTATCTGTAGTCGCAGTATCTCCGAGCATCGTTCGTACAGTTCGAAGGTCCTGTTACTGAACTCCTGTCTGCTCGAGCATCCCCGTTCTTCCTCGGCCGTGCAATTGAATCGCGGTTCCGAGCGAATTCCTCTGGCGTTCAACCACGCGTTCAGCGTCCCGCACTGGCACTCGTTCGCGTCGAACTTGATAGGATTGTCCGACAAATCGAGCACCTTCAGGGAACAAAAAGGAGCCAGATCCTCCGGCGACACGGTACCGATTCGGTTCTCGGAGACGTTCAGGTGAACCAGCGACGGTACCGGACCCAACCGTGGTATCTTGCAGAGGTCGTTTTTCGACAAGTGCAGAAAACTCAGAGGAGACTTGACGTCCATACGCGCGAACACTCCGTCGTTCAGTTTGTTGTCGCAGAGATACACCTTCCGAAGGTACGGCAATTGAAAGAGACTCTTGGGAAGATCCCGACAGCCGTTCTTCGACAAGTCCAACACCTCCAAGTATCCTAGATTGGCGAACGCTCCCTCGTGGATGTCTTGGATGAAATTGTCGCCCAAGTAGAGGTACGCCAAGTTCTTGTACGAGGCCAAACTCTCGTTGCTCAGTTTCCGGATTCTGTTCACCGAAGCGTCTAAGATCTGTGGGAAAGAACGAACGTCGGCTTCGATTTCTTCCTTCTAAAGCGGTAATAAATAACGATAACGAAACAATTAATTTCAGGTGTAAAAAACTCGCCTGAATGTCGGTCTTCAGGGTAGAAGGGATGTCGTTAAGACCCAGATTACTGCAACGGACTTGAAACATCGAGTACGCTCTGCTGTACCTGCAAGTCTTCAGAGGGAGATCCTGTTCCATAAGCAATGTCGGACTAGATCCGAGCACCTGAACGTCCCGTCCGATAGCGACGAGCAACACCAGCATCAGAGACCCGTTAACGAGAAGTCTGTTCATATCTGAAAAGAAAATTTTCTCGCTGAAAATCGAAACCGATCGAGAGACGTTGGCAACGTTCCAGCCCGCGCGATTCCTCGAAACGCATAGGGGCAACGTCAGAGCGCCGATTTTAACGGCGGTTCTGATCGTTGAAAGTTAAAAGAGCGCGTTTCGCGTCTCCGCTTATCCTAGTACGCGAGACTCGTCTTTGAATATATATATACTTTGATGACGGTAAGCGATAATGGTTCAGAGAGAAAGAGAAAGAAGGTAAAAAAGCATTGTTGCGAATTAACCGGACGTGCAAGGAACAGAGACGCGATTAACGCCCAGGGCAACGGCATTAGTTGCGTTTTCTAAGCAGCTTTGTTTCGCGACCTCGTTTACGATCTTCGGATTGTGGAGCACGGAGGAGAGGAGAACGGAGGATACGATGACTAACGGATAATTTCATTTGACGGAGTTGAAACGGAAGAACGGTGGCCCCGGCTCGATGCGATGGGTAGGATATTAACGGCAAGAGAATGGCGCTACGTGTCGTACAGACTCCCGGATTCATTTCATTTTTCCATTATTATCGCGTACCGGAGGGACGAGGAGCGCGAAATATATTCTTCTGGCGGTTTTTGTAGGGCGAAAGGCGAAACGGCAAAGAGGTAGACGGTTCTTGCCAATTAAACCGGTAAATCCTTGCTGGCCTTTGCCGGCGAGAACGGCGTTAAATAAGGGCGGATTTCCGACGCGGGAACACGCCTGACGTTCGAACGAGATATTTATCGGAACGATCGCGGCGCTTAACTTTGAACGTTGCTCGACAAGTAGAAGAGAAAAGTAGTCTTTAACGGAAATTAATCGCGCTTTAGAAATGTATTTTTCATTCGTTTTACCCGAATGCGCGAGCCGATGCAACAAAAGCTAAAGGTTCGAAAAGGAAGCTTCCGCAGCCGAGCTAAACGAGTTAATGGCCAGTTATGAACTTTCTTCATCTAAGTTTCCCACTAGTTTTTTACGTATAAATTGAATTTTTTATCGGGCATTCCTTAACGAGCGTCTCCCCAGCACTTTCGCCGTAACAAGTTTCGCGATCAGCCCGATCAGCCGTGTAAATTTATCGAGAAAATGTAAGCTACCTCGTCAACGTTTACAAACTTCTGTTTATCCTCGGAATCTTTCGAAATTCTGTTATCGGACCGGTACTCTTTCTCCACCTTAACGAACCGTATACTCGTCGTTTATTCCGTTTCTACGTTATTATAGCGCAAGAAGCCTAAGACCTTTTATTCGAGCTTTCATCGACGAGAGTAACTTAGGCTCGTTATCACCGTGAAAAAACGCGTCTATCGAGAAGAAGCAGAAGAAGTTTACATTTTCTATAGCGGGATAACGAACGAAGCGAAAAGAAACGCGGTCTATCATCCGGCAAGCGATAAAAGTTGCTCTAAGACGCGTTCGAACATTCGAGTAACAGAAGCTACCCGTCGATTATTAACGAGCAGAATTCCAAGAGGATTCGTATCTTTTAGCCGATAAATCTCGTTATTTTTCAACGCGGCCGCGAGTCACCGCGATCGACCAGTAGTTTCCCGCGTTGAAAACCTCTACATATACCGGCGTCGCATCGTATCGACTCTCGGAGCCAGCAACAACGAAAATACTCTCGTGCACTGTTCAAGTGGAAAAATAATATTTTAAAAGATAAAAAACCAGTCGAATGATTCGTACGATCCGGTTTCGAATAGCGGGCAAACAGAAAGTCGTCAAATTATGAGAATTCTTTATGAGAATATTTTCCCTTTTTGGACACGGTTCGCGCCCGAAAGGTTCTATCTAATAACCAGAGGCCGATAACTGCAGTTCGAACTTCCGTTTGTTAACGGAAATCGATCCGACCGCGGGGAAAAGCAGAAAAAGCCAGCATTCCAGGTGTCTTTTGGGCGACAAACAACCGGCGCGGCGACAAGAATTGCAACTCGCTCCGGGAACACGCAATAAACGAGAAAGAGCACAGGACTGAAAATATTCCAGTTACGCGGCAAATAATCGCGAAAATTTCCAGCTAAAGGAATTTACTCGAAAGATTAACTTTATTCGGCGAGATTCTTCGAAGCGCGAACTGGACGATGCTATCGATTTTCAAATCGCTCCACCGATTCGGCAAATTTCCCGAATCCCAACAATTTCTTCCGGACACTGGGGTAAAAGATCGATCGAAGTAGAAATTCGCTAGGAACTAGGATACAATTTTAGATGCATCCTGACACGACCAAACGAATTCGAGGAGCGGAAATATCGGGGAAGTGTCCCGTTCTGGAAAGCAAAAATCGGACGTCGCCAAACCGCGAATTCGGCTTAGCTAGTTTCGGGTTACGTCCAAGCTCAGAGTTAGATCAGAAAAATATTAGACGCTTTATCGTAAAGCAAACATATTTTAGACGCGCGTCGAAGCGTTACACGTGTTGAAAATATTTAAGAGGCTTGGCAATGTGTCTCGAAATAAAAGTGGCAGCTCGTGCTTAGACCTTTACGCTTCCTTCGTTATACCAGTTTAGATTTCTTAATATCTACAACTGAAAAGACTCTTCCGGTTCTACCCTCCGGCTCTTCGACGAGACGAAGGCTCGATCGTTCGGAAGATCGATTATTGACCTTGGACCACTTACGAGTGGCCAAATAGCTTTAGGAACGAAATAAAGAAAGGAAAAGATCGTCGAAGGTCGTAAGAAGCAGAGGGTAAAGCTACGGTAAGAATCGGTGTTTCGTTGAAAATTTAACATCGGCAGCAGTTATTTTCCGAACAACTACGGTCGAAGTTCTCGTGGCTGCTATTAACGATCGGTTCATACGAAGCCGTAGTTCGGATAGAAAATAAAGGGAACGAAAGGGAAGGGAAAGGGAAGGGAACGGGAGCGAACGGAAACAAGGGCTGCGTCCTCGTCAGGAACAGGACACTATCGGGAGAAATAGGAATCTCGCAGGCTCCGATTTAATCCCTTTCACCCGTTAAGGGTAGCGAACGACGCTCGTGTCGCAGACGCTACGGGATGTTCGATTACGTTTTTGCTCTTAACGATATAGCGAGTAATATATGTGGATAGTAATATAGAACACTCGTCTCGATATAATAATGATAAAGTTCAGTTTATCCCATCGATAAACTCTAGATCGAGGTAGATGGCGCGAAAGATGTCGGTGAACGAGTTGGAAAGCGAATACCGAGCAGCGCTATTGTCGAAGCGTCTGCTTCGGAGGTGCAAACAAGCGCACACGAACAAACTTTACGAATAAGAACCGAGTTGGCGAGATTCCGATTCCTCGCAAGTAGAAAACTCTTCCGCGCGCCTACCAACAGCAATTTATTTCTTCCTCGCGACTCGTTCTAACGCTCAATTACGCTCGATATTTCCGACGAGTGAAGAAAGGAAAAATACATACAAGGTTTTTTCCTCGCAGAAATTTAGCGTGCGAGCAATTTCTCGGTGATGGGGAACGATAATAGCGTAGAATTCGTTGCGCGTTAGATCGACGAAATAATAATCGTAACGAATAACTCGCGTAAACTGTTCGAGAAATCTCGATCAACGAGTTGGAATTGTGTCGAAACCAAAGGCAAACATGTAACGGCGATAACGTTATCCGTTAAGTATTATTATATACATACATATAAGAACGAAACGTTATCTGAGGGGAAAACGCGTAATCCATCGTGTTCGTAATCTTTCCTAGATTCGTCATTTTTCCTAGATGATACTTCCCTTATTTATATATTCGTATTTGGAAAAAAAACAATCCGAACGAACAGATATTACGTATTATGGTCTTTTCGTGTCATCGGAAATACTTGCGGTGAACTAACTACTATACGTCGAAAATAGGTAGAATTCCGTGAGCGAAGAAAAAAATATGCAAAACATCGATCGCGATAGTTTCGGTTCGTTGAAAGCCTTTCTAGATAATCGAACCGTGAATATTAGCCGAGCTTGTCTCCCCAATTTTATTCCGGTATTATTTTTGATGATGACGGAACCGAGAGGTCAAGCCCTCGTTACTTCGGTCCGATTAATTCTCGAAAATCGCAACTTTATCGCGATCGAGATCGTTCGAACGCGACATTATGTATCTCGAACTAGAGTAGCGTAGCTCGAAATGTCTCGTAAAACGAACGTTTATGCATCGTTTCCGAATCGAGAAGCACGAATCAAACTCGAGTTTACTGATTTACGATACACCGATTGGACAGATTCGAGCACGAAAACCGACCGTTTACAGCCTCTTGATCATGATTTAATTCGCTCGTCTCGAAATCGACGGAAACATATTGAAAAGCGCTGCTTCTTCTTCTTCTTTGTGGCGAAACATTTGCTCGTTCTGAAAAGCGAGCTCGTTTTCGATTTACCTTTCGAAAACTTTTGAAAACTTTTGAAAACTTTTGAAAACGCGACGCTAACAATATTTATCAGCGATACCGGGGAAAAAGCGTGTAGAGATAACGTTCGAATAGTCGACTATTTGTAGAACGCGTAATAGAAGCGGTGACAATACAAGTCCTGGCAACTCGTACCTGCTAATTAAATCCGAGAACACGTCGAGACGAAACTTTCCATTTCGCCTAGCCTCGAAACTGCCGATTGCGACTCCTTCCAACGAAAATACGTTAAAAAACTTTCCAGAGAAATCGAACAAGTAACACACGCTCGATGATAATAGTCTTACAAGTATTATAAAGAATAAAAAAAAAATGCTAAACGAGTTTAACAGAAGATACAGTTTTAAAAGACGCGCTCTTGTTCGTTAAATCTCGAACGATACCGCGGTCGGATCTCTCGTTTCGTTACTTTTCGCAGACCTGTTGCCGCGCGTAACGCGTTCACCTTCGCGATAACAACGTCTATTTCGGTTCTAGAGTTCATCCGACAGATCTCCGTTAACGTTTTCGTCTCGCACGTTACGTACGTACAGTACAAATCGCGCGAAAGCGGAACAACGGAAAAGTCGTTCGCCGAATCTAGCGCGACTCATAACG